GTGTGTGTGTGTGTATAAGTGTGTGTGTGTGTGTATAAGTGTGTGTGTGTGTGTATAAGTGTGTGTGTGTGTGTATAAGTGTGTGTGTGTGTGTATAAGTGTGTGTGTGTGTGTATAAGTGTGTGTGTGTGTGTATAAGTGTGTGTGTGTGTGTATAAGTGTGTGTGTGTGTGTATAAGTGTGTGTGTGTGTGTATAAGTGTGTGTGTGTGTGTATAAGTGTGTGTGTGTGTGTATAAGTGTGTGTGTGTGTGTATAAGTGTGTGTGTGTGTGTATAAGTGTGTGTGTGTGTGTATAAGTGTGTGTGTGTGTGTATAAGTGTGTGTGTGTGTGTGTGAGTGTGTATAAGTGTGTGTGTGTGTGAGAGAGAGAGAGAGAGAGAGAGAGAGAGAGAGAGATAGAGAGTGTGTGTGTCTGTGTGTTTGTGTGTGTCAAAGCATGAATATTCACTGCGTCGTCAGGTGGAGAACTGCATCAAACATCGACTCACACATTACTCATCCTCACAAAGGATACTGATATCTGGAGATCAGTGTGGCTGATGTTACATAACACTATTGTTGAGATGATGTGAAGATATTACACACACTATTCCCTCTGAACCTGTGTGTGTCCACTGACATCACCAGCTTTTACAACCACACACTGCTAATCAAACACACGGTTATCAGCCGCTGCCAACAGCCTCAAAACCACCAAACATCAGCGGATGAGTCCGTTTCTCACATTTCTGCATTTAGCAGACGCTTTTATGCGGTTCTCACATGAAGCTACACACTCAGCAGCGCTCCTGATCGTGTAACGGTGTGTTAACAGCTCCGTCGCTCATCACAGCTCAAGTGTTTGTGTTTTATGCTGAACGTCCTCCGGCCTGACGAGCAGATGCCCCGCGCTGACGCACAGCGCTCCGTCACCGGCCTGTTAGAGCAGCTAAGAGGAGTTCAAACTGAGGGAATCCTGACGCTGACCTGCAGTGATCCGGGGCAAACCAGGACACACACACACACACTCTCTCACTCACACACACACACACACACACACTCACACACCCACTTATACACACACACACACACACTCACACACACACACTCTCACTCACACTCACACTCACACACACTCACTCACTCTCACACTCACTCTCTCACACACACACTCACTCACTCTCACACTCACTCTCTCACACACACACTCACTCACTCTCACACTCACTCTCTCACACACACACTCACTCACTCTCACACTCACTCTCTCACACACACACTCACTCACTCTCACACTCACTCTCTCACACACACACTCACTCACTCTCACACTCACTCTCTCACACACACACTCACTCACTCTCACACTCACTCTCTCACACACACACTCACTCACTCTCACACTCACTCTCTCACACACACACTCACTCACTCTCACACTCACTCTCTCACACACACACTCACTCACTCTCACACTCACTCTCTCACACACACACTCACTCACTCTCACACTCACTCTCTCACACACACACTCACTCACTCTCACACTCACTCTCTCACACACACACTCACTCACTCTCACACTCACTCTCTCACACACACACTCACTCACTCTCACACTCACTCTCTCACACACACACTCACTCACTCTCACACTCACTCTCTCACACACACACTCACTCACTCTCACACTCACTCTCTCACACACACACTCACTCACTCTCACACTCACTCTCTCACACACACACACTCTCACACACACACACGTATACACTCTCACACTCACTCTCTCACACACACACACTCTCTCTCTTATACACACACACTCACTCTCTCTCTCACACACACACACTCGTATAGTCTCACACTCACACACACACACATACACACACTCTCTCGCTCTCATACACACACACACACACTCGTATACACTCTCACTCTCATATACACACACACTCACACTCTCTCATACACACACATACACACACACACACACACACACAGTCTCACACTCACTCACACTCACACACTCTCTCATACACACACATACACTCTCACACTCACACACACACACACTCTCACACTCTCTCTCTCATATACACACACACACACACTCTCACATACATACACACACTCGTATAGTCTCACACTCACTCTCTCATACACACACACACACACACACGTATACAAGCTCACACACACACACTCGTATACAGTCTCACACTCACACACACACACTCTCTCGCTCTCACACACACACGTATACAAGCTCACACACACACACTCGTATACACTCTCACTCTCATATACACACACACACTGTGAAAGTTTTCACAGATCAGAATAGTGAAGTGGATGACCCAGGGAAGGGTCAGCTTACCCAAACTGAACCGTAAAAGTTTTCAGAGATCAGAATAGTGATGTGGATGACCTAGGGAAGAGTCAGCTGACTCGTACTTACCTCTGAAAGTTTTCACAGATCAGAATAGTGATGTTAGTGACTCAGGGTGCCACACGATATAATATGCGATTGTGAAAGTTTTCACAAATCGAGCTCGACCTAAAACAATGTTTTTGTATTCCAGCTGTCTGCGTGTTTATTGGTAATAGACGTTAAACATGAAGAACGCCTTTCTTTCACATTCCTTACTAGCGGACTTACCAAGGGGTTTACGGACAAGAGCTTTGCTGTGAAAAAAATCACAGATCAAACTGGTGAATATGACACCGGTTTCATTCCTCTGTGTCCAACTTTTGGCGCTATAGGCATTATAAAATTAAGAGTCGCTACGAAAAAAACTGATTTCGGCCCGAAGGACAGCGTCACCTGAATTCACAACTCATGGAGAATGATATTCGGTATTATTTGCATGTCTATGACAGCGCACTGCGTATTTATAGCCAAAGGAAATCTGAATATCAAACCGCAAACTATCTTTACTGCGGTTAAAACAGGAACTTCAAAACTGTGCTGGAGAAAACATGAAATCATCACAATTAAATTATTGTTTTAGGATTGAACTTTTAGAGTTATATGAGTTGTGGGTTTATATGACAGGTGGGTTTCTGGTCAAAGATCTAGTCTAGGACTGAAAGGTTGTGGGTTCAAACCCGTCACATTGAGCCGATGACACTGCAGCTGAGACCTGAGCCGAACAGCTTTACATACATCTGATAAATGACAAGAGTTAGTTTGCATCTTTATAGTTGTGTGTGTGTGTGTGTGTATACAGTATGTGTGTGTGTGTGTGTGTGAGTGAGCGTGTGTGTGTGTGTGTGTGTGTGAGTGAGAGTGTGTCGCCCTCAGGTGGTGGTTCTGTGGGTCGGCTCCCTGTTTTTATACAGTCTATGGTCGGCACCAATAAAAGCTTCTGCTGCAGACACTGGAGGAAGCCACAGCTGCTAAACATACTTCTGTCAGCAGGCCGCACACACACACACACACACTCACACACACACACACACACACACACACACAGTCTATATGTACCGTGTTGATGTGCGTGCACATACAGCTTCTCATCACAAAATCAAGCTCTTTCGCTTCAGTTGGAATGGACTCTATTAGCATGATGTTTTTACACATAATGCTGCCAAAGCATCAATACAAATATATGTTCTTTTCATCCGAATGTTTTTACTGTAACATATGTAAACATATACACATTATTGTCTGTTAAGAACTTTTGATCATAATGAAATGTTATATGCAATCTTTTAAATGTGAGAACTGTATTGGCAGTTAGTATCACATTCATATGAAAGCAGTTTTTATCCATGAACTGTATATTTAGTGTAAATACACGCGAGTCTCACAGATGTCTGTGCATAAATGAGCTTTTCATTTTTTCTGAAAACTGGAACATACATAAAATATCCATACAAGAAATATCAGTAACAAGACACATCAACAATAGAAAGAATAGAACAGATAAAGGGCTTTAGCGTCAGTTTCAGCTCAGCCGTAAACAAACGACGTCAAAGCGAGCGGTCACGTGTCATTCTGTGCTCCGATTGGCTGTTCAGCAGTGTACCTCCACCCTCAGGCAATCCAGCGCGACTGCATGTTTTAACTAAGCGGTAAATGCTGTATGTTGAATAAACGTTGAATTACGAACTCTTGTGTATGATGTTCTTTTATTTTTTATTTTTTTTAAATGTGATAGTGAATGATGTTCCGTATGTGTTTGCGCGCGTTTATGACGTGTACACATGATGCGTGCGCGATGACGTCACTCGGCCAGTGTCAACACAGCAGCGCTAGAGCGAGCGGACCCGGATCATATTTCCATCGGTTTAACGGCGGACTGTGTTTCACTGCGGACGCTGTCGTGTGTTAGAATGTGTTTCTTCCGGATCGCCGTTAAAACAATATCACGAGCTTAACGCGAGACACGGTCAGTCTGACATTACACCGACACTGTACTGATATATGCGAGCTTATGACTGTATGGATACGTGTGTGTGTGAGAGAGTGTGTGAGTGTGTGTGTGTGTGTGTGAGAGAGAGTGTGTGTGTGTGTGTGTGTGTGAGAGAGAGAGAGAGAGAGAGTGTGTGTGTGTGTGTGTGTGAGAGAGAGAGAGAGAGAGAGTGTGTGTGTGTGTGTGTGTGAGAGAGAGAGAGAGAGAGAGTGTGTGTGTGTGTGTGTGTGAGAGAGAGAGAGAGAGAGAGTGTGTGTGTGTGTGTGTGTGAGAGAGAGAGAGAGAGAGAGTGTGTGTGTGTGTGTGTGTGAGAGAGAGAGAGAGAGAGAGTGTGTGTGTGTGTGTGTGTGAGAGAGAGAGAGAGAGAGAGTGTGTGTGTGTGTGTGTGTGAGAGAGAGAGAGAGAGAGAGTGTGTGTGTGTGTGTGTGTGAGAGAGAGAGAGAGAGAGAGTGTGTGTGTGTGTGTGTGTGAGAGAGAGAGAGAGAGAGAGTGTGTGTGTGTGTGTGTGTGAGAGAGAGAGAGAGAGAGAGTGTGTGTGTGTGTGTGTGTGAGAGAGAGAGAGAGAGAGAGTGTGTGTGTGTGTGTGTGTGAGAGAGAGAGAGAGAGAGAGTGTGTGTGTGTGTGTGTGTGAGAGAGAGAGAGAGAGAGAGTGTGTGTGTGTGTGTGTGTGAGAGAGAGAGAGAGAGAGAGTGTGTGTGTGTGTGTGTGTGAGAGAGAGAGAGAGAGAGAGTGTGTGTGTGTGTGTGTGTGAGAGAGAGAGAGAGAGAGAGTGTGTGTGTGTGTGTGTGTGAGAGAGAGAGAGAGAGAGAGTGTGTGTGTGTGTGTGTGTGAGAGAGAGAGAGAGAGAGAGTGTGTGTGTGTGTGTGTGTGAGAGAGAGAGAGAGAGAGAGTGTGTGTGTGTGTGTGTGTGTGTGAGAGAGTGTGTGTGTGAGAGAGTGTGTGAGTGTGTGTCTGTGTGAGTGTGTGTGTAGAATTGTAAATACAGTTCTACCATGTTTTACTGTTTTTAAGGTTTTTGAAAGAATCCTCTTCTGCTCATCAAGGCTGCTTTATTTGATTTGACAGTAATACTGTGGAATATTATTAAATTTTCAAAGAATTTATTTCTATTTGAATATATTTTAAAACCTAATTTAGTCCAAAAGATTTCTATTTCACATACTTTCGAATTGTCTATTCATTAAAGAATCCTGAAAAAATGTATCACATTTTCCACAAAAATATTGTGCATTGATGATAATCAGAAATTATTCTCGAGCAGCAAATCAGCATATTAGAATGATTTCTGAAGATCATGTGACACTGAAGACTGGAGTAATGATGCTGAAAATACAGCTGCGCATCACAGAAATAAATTACAGTTTAACAGATATTCACAGAGAAAACCGCTGTTTTAGATTCTAATATGAAAGCAAAATGATTGTTCTTACTGTATTTGTGATCAGGTAAATACAGCCTGTATGAGGCTTCTTTCAGAAACACTCTGGGCCGGCGGTGTGTGTTCAGGTGAAGTATGGTAAGTATGCAGCAGCTCTGGTAAATGTCACACGCGTGTGTTTCCTGCTTCAGACTCGCTCTGCTTGTCTTCTGCTCCAGTTCTCAGGCTGATGACGGATCCAGGATGCTGGGGTTGTGCTGTGGTTCTGTCCGGTTTGCTCCGGTTCTGCTGGTCCTGATGCTGGTGTCGTGCTGTCCGGCGGCCTGCGGCGCTAGTGTGGTCATCCAGAGAGACGCTCAGTTCGACGTCACGTATGATGACACGGTCACCAGCGACAACCAGACCATCTACTCCTACAACCACACCGTCTCCAGAAACAAGGCAAGTCCACCAGAACCGCTGACGACTGCACTGACATCTCATGTGCTCACGGTAACTTCAGTACCTTCTGTGTGTGTGTGTGTGTGTGTGTGTGAGTGTGTGTGTGTGTGTGTGTGTGTGTGTGTCTGTGTGTGTGTCT